GTTCTTTTTTATATGCCTTTTAGTGGATTTGCTGGATCATATAGCAGTTCTGTTTTGAGTTCATAATAAATAAGTGTTTAAAGGGCCCAGTGGAAAACAATACCTCCTTCTAATATCGGAAATACCCCAAGAGGAAAAGATCTACAGAAAGTTTTCCATTTATATTATGGTTCCTAGATTCCTACTCCTTATATTGCCTAGCAATAATGAAATTAGACACTTTTTATTTAATAAGAAGCAACAAAAATTCGAGCTCTCAACATCAATAAACACTACATCTCCTTCCTCGTATCACTTCACCAATTCAAAGAAAGTAAGACTCTCTTGTGTCTTCCAGAACATCACCATGGTCCAAAGATCCACCCTGGACACCACCTCCCAGATGTTGAAGACACAGCCACTGCCCTTATTATTCATCCTCCTTAAGACAAGATTCATAAAATGCATCTTCTAGGTGACCACACCTGTATGAGCAAGCAAAACACTGTAAGTTCTTGAAAAATTGAAGAAGGTGGACAGGCAGTTCCACTAAGAGTAGAGCCTGGGGTTAAGGAAATGGAAAAAACTTACAGCTTCAAAAAGGAAATTACATTTGATAGAAAGTGGATGAATATGAATTATTTAACCCTAAGTGAAGCAAGTGAAACTATGAAAGAGGGGCATTGTATGCTCCCACTCAGTATATACTGAATGTCTGTTCTCTATGTCAGAAACTGAAAGATTGGAAGGTAAAAGGCATGAAGAGCAACTGTGGATACTACAGACAGTGTCAGTAGAAGATGGGAAATTGGGGATCATGACAGGGAGGGAATCCACTAGAAAAAAAAAGAAGCAAAACATTTAAGAGACACAAAAGTGGAAAAAAAATCTGTTGAAAAATTAAAAATAATATCAGAGGCTGGACAGTGGGAAGAGCAGTAAGACTTGATGCATTGAGAGGCAATTCCACATGGAAAGGTTACTGGTGCATGTCCAGAGACTTTCCTGAGTATAATGTGAACCCATGCCCAAGATCTGGAGCTGGCTGAGACTCAGTGGTGTCAAGATCCTATAGGGGGTCAAATTTCTTTTTCTCTCTCTTGCTCTCTCTGTCACTCTCTCACTCAAGGAAAATAAATAAGTAAATAAACTTCATTGACTGATAAAACCATATGATATGCTATCAAGATGTAAAATGAATAAGTGTAAATAAGAAGTTATACAGTAAATAAATCAAACAGTAAAGTTTGTTATGGGTTGTCAGAAAAGTCATGACACATTTTTTACACAGAAAAACATAGACAAGGAACCAGCAGTAAGCGTAATGGCCATGTTGCTGAACTCCCACGTAGTCAACCGTGGTTCAAGTCCTGGACCCAGTGGCTTAAACTCATACCAGGCATGTGTGCGTATGTGCCCATGATCCCGAGAGGACAATAGAGGAGAAGGGATTGTGGTGTGGCCATCCCCCCTGGGGGGTTATTTCTCAAATTCCGTCTCTCTGTCTCTCTTTCTGGCAAGCGCACATGCCCTATAGCAAAAACCTCTCCAAAAAAAAAAAAAAAAAGAAAGAAAAACATAGACAATATGTCATGACTTTTCTGACAACGTAATATTATTTATTGTATAATTTCTTATTTACATTTTCTGACAATGTAATATTATTTATTGTATAATTTATTTACATTTAATCATTTTACATCTCTATCACAAACAATTTGGTTTTTCAAAGCAAACGTGCAGTGCATGTCAGTCAAGTCAGAGATTTTACCATGTATGCCATCCTCCACAGATAACTTTCCATGCCTCTGTATGTTAAATGATAATAAACTTTATTTAAAAAAAAAATCAATGAAGTTCAAGTTCAAGAACCTAGCCTAAAAGGAAACCTCAGGGTTTTGTTGTTTGTTTGTTTTGTTTTAAGTGATTTTTTGCTATAGGGAGTGCACTCGCCAGAGAGACAGAAAGTGAGAGGTCACTTCCTAGAGGGGATGGTCATGCCTCAGTCCCTTCCCCTCCATTTTCTTCTCGGGCTTTTGGGCACACACACACACATGCGCCTGGAATAAGTTTCAAGCTGCTGGTTCTGGGACTCAAACTGTGGTTTGCCACGTGGGAGTCTTGCACCTTAACCACTTAACCACTTATCCTGTTGGTGCCAACGGCTCAGGTTTCACCCCCTCACTCTCTGTTCTGACAGCATGTCCACAGTTCTCTCCTTTCTCATCAGAAATTGTCTCTTTCCTAGTTATCTCCTGGTGATGTTGGGCTTCTGCAAGCATCTTACCAAGTGTCCAGGTCTCCTGCTTACCCCACTAGCCCTTGCATATCACAGAGACATGGTTCATTTACTCACACACTCAGCAGGTGTTCACAAGTCTCCTTCAGCAGGCTCGGTGATTTGTGTGAATGATAGCGCTCTCTTCTCATCTGCATCTAGGGAGATGAAATGAAGTCACTCAGCAGAAGAGATTAGCACAATTCCTGCACCTGGTAAGTGTTAATACGCACGAGTTACTAGTCATGCCATTTCCTGTTCACCTTCAATGAGCAGAGCCTGGTCTGTGTATGTTACAGTTTTGTGCTATTTTGAAAAGGTTATTTCCCCCTATGCTGGAAATAAGAGAGACAATGACTATGTGTATTTATTTAATCTTTTTTCTTTCACAATGTACCAGAATGACTTCTCAGTTGTAGTAGCTTTTTGTTTGATTTTAGGTGGCTAATTTTATGACCTGAATATGTGATTGAATTTCACTTAAGATGCTAAGGTATGATTGCTTTTTCTTCTTTAGCTTAATTGGTTTGTAATTTCAGAACAGCATTGGGTAGTGGTAGGGGCAGGTAGGTATATTTGTCATTTGTATCCCTATAAGCTTTATAAAAATACCTCAGACAATTTCATGTCAGGGCTAATATTAGGTGATGATCAGAGAAGCTATTTTATCATATTTAAGAGAGATTCTTCCATAGTTTGGCGTGTGGAAGACATAATAGCAGAGACCACAGGTGTAAATACCAGAGACTGTATAGGAAGCAGTGCAGGGTGGGAGGGAGGAGCTCAGGAAAGAAAAAACAAAACATTAAACAGACACAAGAGTGGAAAGTTATTGTGTACTGTGCTATCTTTGACTTGCTTGACATGCAGTGTTTTTGTGCTCTGAGAACCCGTATTGTATGGGCCCAGCAGGTGGTATGGTGGTTAAGGCACTGGACTCCAACATGAGTGACCATGACTTGAGTCCCAGACCTGTTGGCTTGCTTTTTCACTTTCCCTCTTTCTCTCTGTCTCACTTTGGTGTGTGCATGTACCCTATAGCAAATTAAAAATAAATATATCAAATTTTTAAAAAGACATAATGGTTAAATAAAAAAATATAAAATCCTTTTAGTTACAGTTTTCTCAGAACGATTTTCACACATTACCTTTTGCATCTATTAAGATGATCTTGTTATATATAGATGACTTTTAAAATAATTAATATACCATATAATAATAAGTAAATTATCAATATAGAATATTCATTGTTTTTTTGGATTGGATGCTACCTGGTCATGTATTTTGTATGCTTGACCAATTGATGAATAGATTTTATAGCTACATTGTTAGGATTTTTCCATTTATGGTAGTTAATGAGAGTCATGTTTTTTTTCTTATTTATTTATTTATTTATTTAATTTTTTTTAGAGATTTTCACTGTAGGGCGCGTGCGCTCGCCACACAGACAGAGAGAGACATAGAGACAGAAAGCGAGAAATCACCCCCCAGGGGGGATGGTCATGCCACAATCCCTTCTCCTCCATTCTCCTCTCGGGATCTTGGGCATGCACGCACACGCGCCGGGTGTGAGTTTTAAGCCATTGGGTCTGGGACGTGAACTGCGATTGACTACGTGGGAGTCCAGCGACATAGCCATTACGCTAACTGCTGGTTCCCTTATTTATTTATTTTTAATGCTTCTGCAGTTGTAGCAGGCGTTTGTCTTTTGGTATCAGGGTTAAAATATATTCATAAAATTCACTGGCTGTTTATAATTTTATTAAAAATATTTTTATTTAATTCAATTTATTATTATTATTTTGGGATTTTATTATTATTATTTTGGAATTTCGTATAGGGCAACCTATAACAGAGCTAGTGAGAGAGAACAAGAGAAAGGGAAAATGTGAAAGCATGCTGCCAGGTCTGGGACTCAAACCGCAGTTGGCCATGTGAGAAGCTAACACCTTAACCAGCATGCCACCTGATGGTCCTTATTTATAGTTTTTTTTAAACTTTTGGCTAGTGTTACTTTATGCTTTTTTGTTCACTTTTTAAAAAAGGTTTCTGCCATAGGGCATGTGTACTCACTGAAGAAAGACAGAGAAAGACAGAAAGAAAATGAGAAATCACCTTCCAGGGTGCACGGCCACACTACTATTCCTCCTTCTCCACTCCCCTCCTGGAATTTGGGAGACTCATGCATGCGTACCTGGCATGATTTTAGAGCCACCAGGTCCTGGACTCAACTGTGATTGACCATTTGGGAGTTCAATGCCTTAAATACCATGCCGCCTGCTAGCCCTCTTGTTCACTTTTAATTGTTGTACGTATTTTCTGCACACGATGTGGTTTTTCAAAGTTTGCCTGTAGTATATGACCATCAAATCAAAGATATTACCACATACATCATCTTCAACACAGAACTTTACATTTTTATGTCTGATATTTATCTGAATGTGGCCCCAATAATTTTTATATGTTTCAGGTAGTTAGGATTTCAAAATTATTAACTTGGCATCTTGTTCAAGAGAGATAAATTTGTTTTTTTATGCACTTTCTTTTTTGATGATTGGTCCACTATATCTTTTAATTAAACATTATTCAAGTATTCAAGTATGGCATTGTCATTAATTTTGGAAATTATATATGGATCCGTGAGTTTAGAAATTATTGCTAAAGTGATCATTATTATGATAATAAAGGCATTTAAAAGTAAAATACAAATGTAATTCAAAATATAGCTGAGATGGTTCCTGCGTCGCCGGCTTGAGCATCCTAGGACACATCAGACATTTTGTAAGGATGCCTGAAATAAATACTGACCACCTTGATGGGAAACAGGTACAACTCCTGGCAGAGATGTGTATTCTTATTGATGAAAATGACAATAAAATTGGGGCTGAGACCAAGAAGAATTGTCATCTGAATGAAAACATTGAGAAAGGATTGTTGCATCGAGCTTTTAGTGTCTTCTTATTCAACAGTGAGAATAAGCTCCTGCTACAACAGAGATCAGATGCTAAAATTACCTTTCCAGGTTGTTTTACCAATACTTGCTGTAGTCATCCATTAAGTAACTCAGCCGAGTTTGAAGAGAACAACGCCATTGGAGTAAAAAGCGCAGCACAGAGGTGTTTACAAGCCGAGTTAGGAATTTCCATGGAAGAGGTTCCGCCAGCAGAAATTAATTATCTAACTGGAACGTACTACAAAGCTCAGTCTGATGGTATCTGGGGTGAACGTGAAATTGACTACATCTTGTTTGTGAGGAAGAATGTAACTTT